GCTGACATCCTACCACTGCACTCCAGCCTGGGCAACAAAAGGAGACCCTGTCTCAAAAAAAGAAAAAAAAAAATCTAGTCCTCAAGACATAGATTCCACCTTCACCACTTAAAAATGGCTACCATTAATAATCAATATGCAAAACATCTAATTATGTTATTATCTCATTTAATTTTCACAACAAACTATTATTACCATGTTACAGATGAGGGAACTGAGGCTCAGAAAGGTTAAGACCCAGGCTCCGAAGCCAGATCTCTGCCACTCCAAGTCCTGGGCTTTTATCCATTGAACCACATCAGAATAGCTTGTGGTTCAGTGAAGAAAATTGATTCTGTCCTCTGCACTGAAACAGGAGGTTCCTGAAGGGAGGGGCTATGTGTTTTATTTGCCTTTATATTCCCAAGTCAAGCACCAGACCTGGCCCAAAAGCACAAAGATGGAGGGAGAGAGGAAAAGCAAGAGGAAAGGAGTCTTTTTTCCCATTTAGTTAGGGGAGTTGTCGCTGGGAACTGGCACTCTTGGGAATTCTGTTTTTCATTCATCCAACAAAGGTTTATTGAACAACTACTAGGTGCTGGACATGGCTCTAGATAGATGCACCAAACAAAGTCCTTCCTGAGGGAGCTCACCTTCTATAGTGCTAGGAAGAAAAATAAAGCCAGACTGGGGATGGTATGTGCGTGCTATTTTGGAGAGGGTGTTCAGGGGAGGAGGTTACTGCGTGGAGAATAGCTTGGAATCAGCTGCTGTGGTGGAGTGGGGACTTCAGTCTGAAAGCCTCTGCAGCAATCCCAGGAGACGGTGGAGGCTCAGGCCTGGGGGTAAAAGTGGTTTTTAGTGAGAAGTGGTCAGATGCAAGGTATATTTTGAAAGTAAAACAGACAGAACAGGAATCCAAAAATGAACTTGGCCTGTGTTTTTGCTACCATACACCTCATGGTGAGAGGAAAAGCCAGTTTCACTTAAAAATGCCTGTGATGAAATCATTGAGATTATTAATTCTATGACAGCTTGACTTTGGAGTGCATGATTTTTTAATATTCTGTGTGATGAATTAAAAGGCTCTTCTGCAAACCAAAGGGCAATGGTCACCTCCAGACCACATGCTCTGTGCCTGAAGTACCAGCCTACCAGTCCCCTTGGTGATAGAACTTGATTTCTACTTAAAAGAATGATTGACAGACACACCATGGTTACTCAGATTTGAGTATTTGGTCGACATTTTCTTGAAAATAAAAGGAATGAGCTGTCACTTCAAGGAGAAAAGCTGAAATATTTGTTGGCAGTGATAAAAGTTGAGCTTTCAAATGAAAATTAGCATTTGGGAAACTTGTGTCCACCACCGTAAGCGTGGGCACTTTCCAATACCTGACATACTTTTCTGATGAGCTTGGTGTTGACGTTACCAAACGTGATTTTTAAACTGTGTATAACATTTGGAAAATCTGCATCACTCCACAAACTGATATTTCCCAAATGACCAAAACACAATGTGACAAAACCATGCATGAGTCAAGATCCATCAAAAAAGCAAGTGCAAGCTGGGCACGGCAGCTCACACCTGTAATCCCAGCACGCTGGGAGGCAGAGGCGGGCGGATCACCTGAGGTCAGGAGTTTGAGACTAACCTGGCCAACATGGCGAAACCCCATCTCTACTAAAAACAGAAAAGTTAGCTGGGCATAGTGGTGCAGGCCTGTAATCCCAGCTACTCAGGAGGCTGAGGCAGGAAAGTGGCTTGAGCTGGGGTGGCAGAGGTTGCAGTGAGCCGAGATTGTGCCACTGCATTTCCAGCCTGGGCCACAGAATGAGACTCCGTCTCAAAAGAAAAAAAAAAAGAAAGCAAAGCAAAAGAATGGATTTTAATATAAGAGAATATGAAAAAGTCATTGATGTGGCTTCAGAGTCCACATGCAGCTAACCTATAAGATAAACCATCAGTTGTCAAGTCTGGGCATACTCGGGCCGGGCACAGTGGCTCACACTTGTAATCCCAGCAGTTTGGGAGGCCAAGGTGGGCAGATCACCTGACGTCAGGGGTTCAAGACCAGCCTGGCTAACATGGTGAAACCTCATCTCTGCTAAAAACACAAAAATTAGCCATGCATGCTGGCACACATTTGTAATCCCAGCTACTCAGGAAGCTGAGGCAGGAAAATTGCTTGAAATCAGGAGGCAGAAGTTGCGGTGAGCTGAGATTGTGCCACTGCATTCCAGCCTGGGCAGTAGAGCAAGAATCCATCTCAAAAAAAAAGTTTGGGTATAGTCAAAGAAGGCTATCTACAATGATCCAAAAAGGCCATTAAAACATCTGAAATCTTGTAACTATACATATCTGTATGAGGCCAGACTCTCTTCATATATATATTAGCCTGATAGGGCTGCCTGAGCAAAGTATCACAGACCAGGTAGCTTCAAGAGCAGAAATTTATTTTCTCACAATCCTAAAAGCTGAAGGTTCCAAGATTAGGGTATCCACAGGGCTGATTTCTCCTGAGACCTCCCTCCTTGGCTTGTGATGGCTGCATGCTTCTGGCATTTTTTGTTTTTGTTTTTTTGTTGTTATTTTTTGAGACAGAGTCTTGCTCTGTCACCCAGGCTGGAGTGCAGTGGCGCGATCTCGGCTCACTGTAACCTCTGCCTCCCGGGTTCAAGCAATTCTCCTGCCTCAGCCTCCCAAGTAGCTGGGACTACAGGTGCCTGCCTTCACGCCCCGCTAATCTTTGTATTTTTAGTAGAGACGAGGTTTCACCATGTTGGCCAGGATGGTCTCGATTTCTTGACTTCGTGATCCACCCGCCTCAGCCTCCCAAGGTGCTGGGATTACAGGCATGAGCCACCACCCCCAGCTGCTTCTAGTGTCTTTATTTGGTCTTCACTCTGTGCCTGTGTCCAAATATCCTCCTCTGATAAGGACACCAGTCATAGTCGATTAGGGTCCACCTTGATATTTTCATTTTCAACTTAATTATACCTGTAAAGACCCTGTCCAAATATAGTCACATTCCGAGGTAGTGGGGACATAAGTCAGACTGTAACAATATATGTCAACTAAATGACAACGTATTACAAGAGGTTGAATGCAGAGACCGATGTAAAAATTCAGCTGTCTTCTATTAAGCCAGATATTTACAATATTGATAAAAATGTAAAATAATGCCACACTTTGCTCAAATTGTTTTTGTTCCAGAGAATATATTTTCCACAAAATATGTTGTGTTAATATGTAATTGGTTTATTATTTTTAGAAGAATGAATAAATAATGGTTTTTAAGCTTTCTCAGTTTATTTTTTCCTTGAGTTAGAGTCCTGCTCTGCAGCCCATGCTGGAGTCCAGCAGCTCACAGCAGCCTCTGCCTCCTGGGCTCAGGCGATCTCACCTCAGCTTCCCAAGTAACTGGGGCCACACCCAGCTAATTTTTTTGTGTATTTTGGAGACAGGGACTCATTATGTTGCCCAGGCTAGTCTCGAACTCCTGGGCTTTAGTGATCTGTCTCCAAAAGTCCTGGGATTACAGGCATGAGCCACTGTGCCCAAAATTTTTTTTTTTTTTTCCCACAAAGTGCCTCACTCTGTCCTACCATGCTGCAGCACAGTGGTACAATCATAGGTCATTGCAGCCTCCACCACTGGGCACAAGCAATCCTCCTGCCTTAGCCTCCTCCTCCCAAATATGTGGGATTATAGGCATAAGCCACCACACCTGGCCTCAGTTTTAATATCTAATGGGGAATTTATTTTTGGTAGATATAATCTGTATAAATAAAAGCTCTTTAGAGTTCTCAATAATTTTTATAGAGTAAAGGGGTCCTGAGACCAAGAAGAATCACTGGTTTACAATGATGATAATTTGTGTTTGTAGATATATATATTTTTGAGATGGAGTCTCACTCTGTCACCCAGGCTGGAGTACAATGGCATGATCTTGGCTCACTGCAACCTCCATTGCCTGAGTGTAAGCGATTCTCCTGCCTTAGCCTCCCAAGTATTTGGGACTACAGGCACCCGCCACCACGCCCAGCTAATTTTTGTATTTTTAATAGAGATAGGGTTTCACCATGTTAGTCAGGCTGGTCTTGAACTCCTGACCTTGTGATCTGTCCACCTCAGCCTCCCAAAGTGCTGGGATTATGGGGATAAGCCACTGTGCCCTGCCTGTGTTTAGATCTTTTATCCAAATATCCCACTAGGAGATTGACCTCAGGGCATTTTGCACTTGCTCTTTGAATACCTTATTTGTCATGCCCAATACTGCGATAAAGGTGCGATAAAGGAGGGGGCCTTATCCATCACCTTCCTTTCCTGACAACAATTGCTGTTTTCTCAAAGACATATAGCTTCAATCCCTTTCATCTACTCTGATTATCGTCCCAAATCATCTCCTATATAGAAAACCTGGAGTGCCACTGTTCAGGTCTTAATTGAAATGTCACTTCCTTAGAGGCTGCGTAAAACCCATAACCCATGCTGTAGATCAGAAATAGGTTCTTGGCCAGGCACGGTGGCTCTCGCCGGTAATCCCAGCACTTTGGGAGGCTGAGGAGGGCAGATCAGCTGAGGTCAGGAGTTCAAGACCAGCCTGGCCAACACCGTGAAACCTGGTCTCTACTAAAAATACAAAAATTAGCTGGGTGTGATGGCGGGCGCCTGAAATCCCAGGTACTTGGGAGGCTGAAGCAGGAGAATCACTTGAACCCAGAAGGCAGAGGTTGCAATGAGCCAAGATTGTGCCACTGCACTTCAGCCTGGGTGACAAAGTGAGACGGGGGTGGGGGAGGGAGGGAGGGAGGGAGGGAGGGAGGAAGGAAGGAAGGAAGGAAGGAAGGAAGGAAGGAAGGAGAAAGAAAGAGGTTCTTATGGCATCCTGTGTTCTCCCCTCATAGCACCTAACACCAGGGGGATTGTAGAGTTGCTTCTGAGAATATTAGTTCAGCCTCCCCCATTCAAAGGAGATCCATAAAGCTAATGTCTCTCTTGTTCACTGCTGTATCCACAGTTTCTAGGACATTTGTTCAAAGAATGAATGAATGAATGAAGATGTACATTCAACTGCTGTGGACATGCAGAAGGTACTGGTGGAGTCAGGGTCTCTGCAGCTGTGCACATGGGCATCAGGTGTGGGAGCATGGCTGGTGCATCGTCTGACTTCTGAGGATGCTTAACGTTTCAAAGCACAGCGAACTTCATTATAGAAGCTGTTTTCCAAAGTACATATACAACAAGATGGTGCTGTGTTGAGGAAGAAGTGGGGTGCACCTAGGATAATCACAATCTTCACTCCACCCCCAACCTCCCACCCCCACATTTTTGCCCCCAACAGGTAAGCCCATTGGAAATAAGCCAGTAAGTATTCCTTGGACCTCGTTCAGCTCCCTCTTCTCCAGGGAAAAGGGAGGATGCAAATACAGTTTTTTGTCTTGTGTGAAAATGTGCAGTTTAGCAAGGCCCTGTGTGCATTTCGTGGCAGATCTGGAAAATAAGGTTTAATGATGAGAAAAGAAGGAAATGATTGTCAAAATATGACTTCATAAGGCACAGTCCCTGGGGGCCTATTTTGGCAGTAAAGATAATTAAGCTTAGATTTTTAAAGGTCAGTTTTAACCAGCTCATAAGGCAAATGGCAACAGTAACATCATCCTAGCCCTGTGTATCTATGGCAACTGAGTTTCTCAGCTGTAATTAAACATAAAACTACAACTACTGCACTGGTCCCAGCACTAACTGCAAATAAATACCTGAGAACAAAGTGGGCAAACTTGACACCTCCTTTTGGAATATTCTGGCCATTTACTGGGAAAACAAGCAACAGAAGCTGCTGTTAAAGTTGCTGCTAATGAGCCCAGGTTGCTGGCCCACCCACCTGCCTCTGGGACCTCGTGTAAGAGGAAGACTGATCCCAAATCAATTGTTTTTCATTCATATAGTGGTTGTAAGTTGGAGAGCAAAGGTATCAAAGAAAGGTGATTGTTTGGATATTCGAATTATCTTTTTAAAAGTATTTTTTCTAACCTCAAAAATGATTAAAAATGGCCAGGCATGGTGGCTCATGTCTGTAATTCCAACACTTTGGGAGGCTGAGGCAGGCAGATCACTTGAGGCCAGGAATTTGAGACCAGCCTGGCCAACATGATGAAACGCCGTCTCTACTAAAAATACAAAAATTAGCCAGGAGTGGTGACATATGCCTATTACAGCCTCCCAACTACTTGGGAGGCTGAGGCAGGAGAATCACTTGAACCCTGGAAGTGGAGGTTGCAGTGAGCGGAGATCATGCCACTGCCCTCCAGCGTGGATGACAGAGCAAGACTCCATCCCGAATAAAAAAAGAATGAAAGAAAGAAACCAACACATATTTATTGTAGAACATTTCTAAAATTCAGACAAATGTCAAGAAGAAAAGTAAAAGTATCTGAAGTCCCAATTAGATTATTCGTTTCCTGTCTTTTTTCTGTGCGTGTATTTCACACAGTTAGGATTAAGCATATAGTTTTGTGTCCTGTGCTTTTTTTCCATTAATAGTAGGTTATGATCTCTTTTTCATACTATTGTTCTTCAAAAGCACAGCTTTTAACAATGGCATAAAATTATACCATAGAAATCTCCTATAAATTATCTTTGTACTTTATCTCATTTACTGCTCATTGTGGGATTAGTCATGTTTACAGGCTGCCAGCATGTCCTACATACGCAATCCAGCTCCCCGGTTTAGGAGGTAGAGTTCTTGGCATCTGTTGCACTGATCTCACTCCACTTTGGAGTCTCAGCTGAAGCCAAAATCAGAGTCCCATTTTAGCATCCTGTTCCATATGTAAAATTGGAGGGAATAACTAAGACAAATTAATAAAAATACAACAGTGGTGGTAGACTTTCACCCACTTGTTTCAGTCTTCGTTGGACTAAATAGAGAAAGTAAGGATATTACAGAGGAGGAGAACATAATGACTAAACGTTCTGAACTCTATCCTTTGAAAAGAGTAGACTTCTTTTCAGTTAAATGGAGAAAGGTATAACAATGTCCATTGATGAATGGGTAAACAAAACATGGTATATACATACAACGGAGGCCAGAGTGGTGACTCACAGCTGTCATCCCAGCACTTTGGAAGGCCGAGGCGGGCGGATCACAAGGTCAAGAGATCGAGTCCATCCTGGCCAACATGGTGGAACTCCATCTCTACTAAAAAATACAAAAATTAGCCGGGTGTGGTGGCACATGCCTGTAGTCAGTCCCAGCTACTCGGGAAGCTGAGGCAGGAGAAGTGCTTGAACCCGGGAGGTTGCAGTGAGCTGAGATCGCACCTCTGCACTCCAGCCCGGCGCCTGGCAACAAAGCAAGACTCTGTCTCAAAAACAACAACAAAAAAAATAAAATAGGAAAGCCCATTGTATATAACAAATTGGAAATTGTACAGTCATATTCCTGATCATAGGGCAAGAACCCAAGAAATAAGTTAAAAGTAGATGCATTGAACGTCTTTTGTAGTTGGCAACAAAAATTAAAACAAAAAGCAGATGCAGAAAGACATTTGAGAATGTCAAGCCTTTCTATCAAACTACTCTAGGACAAAAATAAGTTTATTTTTATTGGGAAATAATGCTAATGAAAACACTACATATAAAAAACTCATGGATAACACTAGAGCTATACTCAGAGGAAAATGCCTAGTCTTAAAACACTCTGCTAAGTAAGAAAAATAAAATACAGCAGTCAATTAAGTCTGCCCGCAAAGTTGGGATGAAGAGCTTTGTTTTCCCTTGGACAGCTGCCTGAAGCAAGGTGCCCATTTTGTTAAACTCCCCAGAGTCAAACGCTTTAGCTATGTAGAACACTTAAAGACGCAAAACAGTAAGTATCACAACTCCAAGGCTTATTTGGAGCTCAATACGTGAGACATAAAGCGTTTTGTTAAAAGGCAGATATAGTGAGATATAATTCACATCCCATCATGCAATTTACCCACTTATGGTGCAAAATGAGTGGCTTTTACCATGTTCACAGGTTGGTGCATCCATCACCATGACCAGTTTTACAACATTTTTATTACCATTGAAAAAACCCCATTCCTTGGCCAGGTGGTGGCTCTCGCCTTTAATCCCATCACTTTGAAAGGGAAGTCAGGAGTTTGAGACCAGCCTGGACAACTTGGTGAAATCCCGTCTCTACTAAAAATACAAAAATTAGTCAGACATGCTTGTGCACACCTGTAGTCCCGGCTACTTGGGAGGCTGAGGTGGGAGGATCGCTTGAGCCCAGCAGGTGGAGGTTGCAGTGAGCTGAGATCGCGCCACTGCATTCCAGCCTGGGTGACAGCACGAGACTCCGTCTAAAAAAGAAAACAAAGGAAAAGAAAAGAAAAGACCCCATCACCATTCCCTGTGTCTCCCCATCGCCACCCTGCTGGCAACCACTAATCTGCTTTCTGCATCTGTGGATTTGCCTATTCTGGAAATTTTATATAAATGGAATCCTGCAGAGAGAGAGAGAAGAAAATGAGGGGTAGAGGGATGATGAAAAAGTTCTGGAGCGAGATCGTGCTGATGGTGGCGAAACATTGAGAATGTATTTAACATGCCTAAATCGTACACTTTAAAATGGTTAACCAGGCTGGGCAACGTGGTGAAACCCTTGTCTCCTCACAAAATAAAAAAAAAATAAAAAATAAAAAAAATTAGCCAGGCATGGTGGTCCCAGCTACTCAGGAGGCTGAGGTGAGCAGATCGCTTGAGTCCAGGAGGTCGAGGCCACAGTGAGCCGAGACGGCTCCACTGCACTCCAGCCTGGGTGATAGAGTGAGACTCTGTCTAAAAAAAAATTTAATAAATAAAAAAATCTATAATAAAGTGGTCGATTTTATGTAATGTGTTTTTTAGTATAATAATTTTTAAAATCCAAACTAAGGAAAGCTAGTATTTGTGAATTCATTGGACAGACCATATCTAATTTAAGAATTAGTCATGAAGCCAGGCGCGGTGGCTCACGCCTATAATCCCAGCACTTTGGGAGGCCGAGGCGGGTGGATCACGAGGTCAAGAGATCGAGACCATCTGGTCAACATGGTGAAACCCCGTCTCTACTAAAAATACAAAAAATTAGCTGGGCGTGGTGGCACGTGCGTGTAGTCCCAGCTACTCAGGAGGCTGAGGCAGGAGAATTGCTTGAACCCAGGAGGCGGAGGTTGTGGCGAGCCAAGATCGCGCCATTGCACTCCAGCCTGGGTAACAAGTGAAACTCCATCTCAAAAAAAAAAAAGAATTAGTCATGAATATTGAATTGGATTTTTTTTCACATTGTACTAAGAGAAACAACAAATATTGCCAACAAAATATCACCAAAAACAACAAATATTTAAGCTTATTTAACCAAAACATGGAGGTTAGACATTTTGTTTCTTCAAAAGCAAGGTATAATAATTTTAACAAAATAAACAGCTGGAGGTAAGAAAGATGTTTTAGCTATAAATATAAAATGTGTTGTTGCATTTTTTTTTTTTTGAGACCCAATTTCGCTCTTTTTGCCCAGTGATCTCAGCTCGCTGCAACCTCCACCTCCTGGGTTCAAGAGATTCTCCTGCCTCAGCCTTCTGAGTAGCTGGGATTACAGGCATGCACCACCATGCCCGGCTTATTTTGTATTTTTAGTAGAGACGGGGTTTCTCCATGTTGGTCAGGCTGGTCTCGAACTCCCGACCTCAGGTGATCTGCCTGCCTTGGCCTCCCAAAGTGCGGGGATTACAGGTGTGAGCCACGCTGTTGCATTTAAATAGACTGTTATCTAAGTGATTATGAAAAGCTTGGAATGTCACATTATGATGCTGGCTTCACCTTGCTCTATCTGTTTATTACAGACTAGGAAAGAAACTTTCTGAAAGATAAGCCTCCAACTTTATCAAATTTTCTCACTCTGGCAGCATTAAACTATTTTGCAAGAGCAAGTGGGGTCAGGTGCTGTGACTCACACCTATAATCCCAACAAGCTACCAGTTTTCAGGTCCCAAAGATAATAAGACTCAAAGCAATGGCATCAAATTCTAGAGCAAAATCAAGGTATCTACCACCATCGTACTAAACATCCTTCTGTTTCCATGTAAGGGAATGTTAAAGTCAACTTCTGAATGGCTCGGGACTTTAAAAAATAAAACTGGCCAGGCATAGTGGCACACACCTGTAGTCCTAGCTACTCTGGAGGCTGAGGTGGGAGGATTGCTTGAGCCCAGGAGATCAAGGCTGCAGTGAACATGATTGTGCCACCGCACTGTAGCCTGAGTGACAGCAAGTCCCAGTCCCTATTTTTAAAAAAAAACTATGTAAGAAAACTTCAACCAAGCATTGATGCAGTGGTTTGTGATCTTGGCTGCACATTAGAATCATCTGAGGGCTTTTAGAATCTCCTATTCACACCCAAGACCAATTTTTAAAAAGTTTATTTTATTTCTGTTTCCAGGATACATGTGCAGAACATGTACGCATTTTACATAGGTAAAGGTGTGTCATGGTGGTTTGCTGCACCTATCAACCCATTACATAGGCATTAAGCCCAGCATGCATTAGCTATTAGTCCAGATGCTCTCCCTCCTCTGCCCTCTCAACAGGCCCCAGTGTGTGATGTTCCCCTCCCTGTATCCATGTGTTCTCATTGTTCATCTCCCGCTTATGAGTAAGAACATGCGGTGTTTGGTTTTCTGTTCCTGTGTTAGTTTGCTGAGAATGATGGCTTCCAGCTTCATCAATGTTCCTGCAAAGAACATGATCTCATTCCTTTTTTATGGCTGCATAATATTCCATGGTGTATATGTACCACATTTGTTTTATCCAGTCTATCATTGATGGGCATTTGGGTTGGTTCCAAGTCTTTGCTCTTGGAAAGTGCTGCAGTAAACATACATGTGCGTGGACCTTTCTAATAGAATGATTTATATTCCTTTGGGTATATACACAGTAAAGGGATTGTTGGCTCAAATAATATTTCTGGTTGTAGATCCTTAAGGAATTGCCACACTGCCTTCCACAGTGGCTGAATTAATTTACATTCCCACCA